TAGGGCATTCACGAAGGAACAAGATAGTTCTAGAAACGTGGCGTGACACTAGTCACGTGACTTCGCTGATGCAACACTATGTTAATATTATACAAGGCCAAGTAACCTAATGGTTAGCGTACAGGCATTTGATTCTGAAGGTTGAAGATTTGCGTTCTGTCGCCTCAGTACTTCTCTTTGCACTTTGAGGCTGTGCAACAGTTAAAAGAATAACGGCCTTAACAAAAACATTGATCAACATTATAGCATTTTTAGTTTTTTAATGCATGTAGAACAATGACCCTTAAGCAACAAAGTCATTAACCAAGTTGCCAGTTTCTATAGTTTTGACGCAGTGAGTGGTCATATTGCATGGAAAATAGCTGTTTCAATAAGTTGTAGTTTTTAATGATACCATTGTATAGATGGCGATTATAGAAGAAAGTGTAATAAGAATAAAACAAAAAAACAACAACATTGCTTTCTAAATCTCTATACCTTCATAAGAATTGATGTTTTTTTTCAGGGGGCGTGCCTATAGATTTTTCTGTTTTGACAACGTTTAGGCCAGAGCAAGGTTCAGAAGGATATCTTTTTTCTGTCTACGATAGCGAAGGACAAGAACAACTTGGTCTTAAAGTAGGAGAGAATGTTACATTTACCTGCCGACGAAGTCTTGAAGCATCAGATCTGGCTAAAGCCAATTTTGATATAAGAATCAATGACGGCAAGTAGGTGTAGTGATATGCTTAAAGTAAAAGATCGAAATAGATAAACTTCCTTATATAGTTATATAATAAAGTTTGGAGACAGATTGTATAAGTAATGAAAGAAACTTTATTACTTATGTACAACATAGAGTTACTTTCAGTTTCACTACTCTGTAGTACTCACTCAAGCCGTTTCCAAACTTTTTATTTTCTAAAATAAAAAGTGAGCTTCTTGTCATCAAATTCTATATTATATATAATGTAGGTATACCTTTAGAAACACTGCAGTGTAAGTAAGAGTCGTGCTTGTGTTGCATGAGATACAATTGTTTAACTAAAATTAGATAACCAATTATGTATCTTTTTTTCTGTATACGATAGCGAAGGGCGAGAACAACTTGGTCTTAAAGTAGGAAAGAACGTTACATTTACCTGCCGACGAAGTCTTGAAGCATCAGATCTGACTAAAGCCAATTTTGATCAGTTATTTATTATTAATGTTATTATAACATAATAAAGGAACAAAATTAATGCTCAAGCTTTTTCAATCTCTTAATATGCAGCCATGTATAATATTAAGTTAATAATGAACATGAAAGAGAACATATTTCTCAGAAACAATGAAGAGGTGTTTTGATACTAATAATTAAAGAAATTAATACCTTCTTTTTTCCTAATTTTTTTTTCACATTTATTTATTTTTGTCGTAGATGGCATCGTTTATCCTTAAGTGTGAAAGGGGATTCTGTGACTGTGTTGAATGGATGTGGTCCAAATCAACAAACCGAAACTGTACAGCTTCATCGTAGTGCAGATGCTTATATTGACACATCAGGAATCACTTTGGTTGGACAGGAGCTGCATAATGGAGGATTTTTTAGGGTAAGTAAATGGTAATATAGGATTTACATGACCCTGAAAGTATTGTTTGTTGACAATAATTTGTTATATACATCTTAATAAAAGCTGTTTTTAAGTGTTTACTGATAGGCTTTGTTTTATTTTTATACAGATCTGAAATATTGTTTTTAATGATACAAATAAAATGTTAAGCCTATTCAATTTTTGTGTTTTTATTACACTTATTTATAGAATGTACGTGAGTTATTTTGCATTATAATTATTTAAATGTTAACTGTGTAACCTGTATAAAAATAATTTAAGGCTCAACATTTGTAACTGCTAAAATTTAAAATGGATCAACAGGAAGTATTAATATATACCATAATATACTTGTTAAATTTAAATAAAATAGCGGGAACTATACTCCAAAAAGAGGATTATTGAAGATTAAAAACAACTGTTTTTATTCCAGTATCAGAGCTTTCATTTTAGTAATTTTTTTTTCTTGGAACAAATTTTATTTTTATGCACACATACCTTTTTGTACTGAATATCCTAATGATACCTAACTAGAATATCTTAGTAAAAAATAATAGGTTAATGAGGTACTGAAAAGTTTAAGTCCAAACTTGTTTTCTTTCCTTCTGATAGGGGGATATTCAACAACTTCAAGTCATTCCTACTCCTCAAGCTGCATATGAACACTGTGTGGATTATATGCCTGATTGTGACACTCCTTTTCCATATGCTCAACCTCCCGAGGCAGAGGTGTATCCTGTATATCCATACCCAGTGGATGAAGAACTTCCTCCAGTAAGCCCAGAGGAAAATGATGGGGAGGAGGATATTCCTTATCCTGATGCTTCTTATGATATAACAAATTTCACTGTTATGGTAGGTATATTCAGCTGAATGGGTTTTTATTTGGTTTTAATGCAAAGTCATTAGTGCTATTGATTAATTAACACTAATTGAAAGCAGGGGATAATGAATTAACATTAAATAAGTCAAAATTGGGTATGATTTATTTTATGCTATCTTAATCAGTATATTATATCATAAAGATTGGAACTTGCATGTTATTTGTACTCTGCAGATGCCGTTTGTTTTATGGTACAAAAAATATGTATAGTATAGATATTTAATTATTATTTTGAAGTCCTCTAAATTATTTGAATATGTATGGATTTTCAGCCTGTTCTTGGTATTGAGGTAGAGAAATGATGTTATATGTTTAACACGTTTGCTGTTAAACCGGTGTGTCACAACTGACTTTTAGTTATGGACACATGACACACAGACAATTGTGTTTCAAAGCCAAATTTCTATTGTGCCATATGAGTTTGGGACACTGTGACTGCTCCTTGGCACTGTTACGTCTCCGTTTGTTAAT